GAGACATCAAACCTTCAGTCATTGATCCACATCCGTTCCCCTGCAAGACTGAATGATCAAATCATGACATCACTTAAGTAACGCCCCCTGACAACAGGAACTGTAAAGTTTTAAGTTGAACGGTCCCTATCTGACCCCTGTTACGTAATCAGCATGATAGTGTGTCCAGTGACTGAAGACATGTTGGTGTAACTTGCTTTCCAACACTGACAGTTTTGGGTAGAGCATGAGGGCATTGCGCCATCGCCATACGTTTGGCTCTAAATTCCACAGATTTGAACCGAGGTGCACCAAAATCAGTATGATCGATCATTATCCACCCCTTGAGCAGGGATCCATGATTATTGGCCAATAGCTTCCACAGCGCCCCCTAGAATATTTTAAAACCTCAGCCCCAAGCCATTTTTTGACCGATAATTCTGAAACTTGGTGAACATCTGTATCATCTCAGGACCTATGAAAAAGTCTCTTGGAGTCCTGGTACAAAACCAACAGGAAGTCAGCCATTTTGGGTCAGAGGGCAATTTTGGGGTGTTTCTAATTGCGAATTTTAACGAACTCCACCAAGGGATTTTGAAGGATTGCCTTCAAACTTGATTAATATGCCCTTAACACATAGGAGAGGAATAGTTATCAAAAGCTTGTGTTTTCCTATATGTTAAAGGGGCGTGGCCAGGTCTCGAAGTTGCACTTCACACCATAAATTTCAAAACTCTATAACTTTCACATTGAAAGACAGAAATGCACAAAACTTGGCATGAGTCATCCCTGTTAGATACCCAACAATCCTCTGTGGTCATATTCTGACGTCATCAAAGCCCCGCCTCCTCAAAACAGGAAGTCACTTTTTTATTTGGAATGCTCCCTCTCTGACACCCATGACCTAATCAGGATGATCCTGTGATAGAAGATAGATAACAAGTTAGTCTGACTTACTTTAAATTACAAACAGTTTTTGAAGGCGGATGTGGGCGTGGCAGCGTGGCGAATTCAGAAGTGACACCGTTGCAATAGGTTTGGCTATAAATTCCACAGATTTGAACCGAGGTGCACCAAAATCAGTATGATCGATCATTATCCCCCCTTTGAACAGGAATCCATGATTAGTGGCCATTAGCCTCCACAGCGCCCCGTATAGTATTCCTACAGTTATATCTCCGTGATACATCATTCGATCTGATCCATGCGGGATTGGCACAAGAACGTTCGCAGTGGCGACTGGGTGGACTAGCTGGAGCTCTCGCGATCGCCATAAGGTCGGAGCGGCGCTTTGCTGCGAGGGCCTCCAATGCTGCTTGCAGCTTTAATTATCTGTTTTTGACCCTGTTAGAGTGAAGTGAGTGGATCAGCTGGGAACCACTAAGCTGTACTGTATTAACTTTCTGAATATAATGAATGTATAACATACTGCAGTAAAGGAAATGTCTCTAACATTATTAACAACTACACATCACTGTGTGTCCATCCTTCTTCTTGTCTCTCTTTTGCCTTATGTCTGACTAACAGCAAAGATTCTGCAAAACCGTAAGTATTTTATCTTATTGGGTTTTGTTTTTGCATGGACATTTTATTCTCAAATAGAAACTGAACTCCAGGTAAATCCACTGCAGCACAGGTCACAGGAAGAGAAACAGCACAAGCATGGTTGGCAGAGATGGATGCTTGTTTT